TTTCTAGAACGTCACATTGTTGTGTTATGTAAGGTGCGGTTAGGTCTTGTAAGAATATTGGGCGAAACCCATCGAACCCAGGTGAGGAATCGCGTTTGAAGGAGAGAATAGCCTTTCTAACGTCGCTTGCGGTATAAGTGGCCGCAATTAGAGGAGTTTCAGGGTAAGCCGGTATTTCGTTTTTAAAATCGTGTGGTTGGTGTTTTAGGAGAAGGGCCTGATAAGTTACTAAGTCATAGGGAGCCAGTTTATTGTCGGAGGTTGCCAGACGTATGGTGGATTTAACATTCAGGTTATCCATTTTTTTAGATATTAGCCTGGTCTTGGTGAGCAGGTCATTTTTGTGATTTCTATTTTTATCTGTGTCGTCACTCGTAAAAGATGTGGTAATGTGATTGATGGGTAAGGGGTAGATAGTAGCATCCTTAATTTGTTGGGTCAGGGATTTTTTGCTGGTAGGATCAGGAACTTGTAAGGTAGTAAAGGCAAATGACAGGGTGTCTAGCCAGTGTTTTACAGAAGAATAATTATTTAACAAGGAAGTCAAGTTTTTTGACAGGTGTCTCGCAACTTGAAGCCTTGCTCCTTTAGGTATTCGTGAAATTACAAATGGTTTTGGTGTAGTAAGAAATATTTCTACATTTGAGTCGGCTGGGTCGAACGTCGAAGCATTTGTGACAGTGAAGGTAGGGATTATTGGGTAAGTGAGCACATCAGTTAATGATGTGGGAATGGTGACTATGGGTTGTTTAGTTGTGAGGGCAAGGGCAGATAAGGCGTTAAGAGTTCTAGGAATTGCTGGTGATAAGATGGGTAGCCCAGATTGAGGACACCTTATTTTATGGTTACTATGAGATGGCAATAGCCCCAATTTGGTTACCTTAATAAGTTTATTGCATAATGGGCAGTTGCATTTGGTAGGTGCTGTGCCGAGGTCTGGTATGCTCATGGATTAGGAATTTTTGTCATATTTAAGATGAAGGTGAATATCATTATTGTTAAAAATCACAGATGTGTTTATGGATAAATCTATGTATTATTTAATAAATTTAAAATTTTCATTCTGGAATGATTTTATAATTTTCATTGTCCATCTTTAAATAAGTGTGATCATGATATGTAAGCTTTGATTGCAAACATGGTTTTACAATGGGGTAATCATGATATGTAAGCTTTGATTGCAAAGATGGTTTTACAATGGGGTAATTTATCTGTATCATTAGTAATGGCATTATTGTGTTGTGGGAATTGAGATGAAGAGGTAGAAATACTAATTATGAGTGGAACCAGAGTGTGTTTGCTAAATATATAATAATGAGGTTTTTATTGCATCTCATCTTCAGATTTGCATAGTCAAACTAGTTGCAACAGAATTTTGCCTTTAAATATGTGGCCTTCTCTTTAAAGTCATAATTTTATAACTTCTTCTTGTGTTGTTAAATATATAGTGTGATTGTATTAAGCATATCATGAGATAAGATTTCTATCAGGTGAAGTATTCAGTTAATATATTGCTTACATTATAATTAAAAATAATATTAGATTTTTAAGCAATATTTCTTTCTTTGAGAGTCATATTATTGACATGTTCTGGTTTATAAATCTAAATTGGTACTTTGAGTTATTTCAGAGTAACTTCTTCTTGTGTTGTTAAATATATAGTGTGATTGTATTAAGCATATCATGAGATAAGATTTCTATCAGGTGAAGTATTCAGTTAATATATTGCTTACATTATAATTAAAAATAATATTAGATTTTTAAGTAATATTTCTTTCTTTGAGAGTCATATTATTGACATCAGTGGCGTAGCTACGGGGGTGGTTTTCGGGTTTGGACCCCCCCAGAACAAAAATTTATTTTTAGATTATACGTTCAAAAGACTTATATGACTTTATATCAAATAAATACCAATAATATTTATATTTTTTTGGTTTTGATGTTTGTGGAAGGATATTTTATTACTATTGAAATTATCTGGATAGTATTATTATAAAGTCATTGAGAATAAGCTACTAAATTATAAAACAAATTATTGATGCATTTAAAAAATATATTTATTATATATTATCGAAGATATGGTTATGATTTGTAAGATAAACCCGGCCGAAGGCCGAGCAAAAGGGCCGAAGGCCCGTTATAGGGGGTCTGAGAGCGAAGCCCCCCAGGCTTTTATATGTACGGACCCCCTCTAAGGAAAATTCCAAGCTACGCCACTGATTGACATGTTCTGGTTTATAAATCTAAATTGGTACTTTGAGTTATTTCAGAGTTTTTGAATTTTGGATAATTATTTTGTACTCAGATATTGAATATTTGAATGTTTATTAATTAATCAGATGTATCAAATTAGTTTTGATTTTCTTTTATCTTAATATATAGCTTACATCGTTTCATATTGGCACTTCATTGCCTACCAAAATAAAAGTAATAGATTTCGAAATATTGTTTTTAAAATATTTTTAAGCTTATAATGCTTAGATATATTTTTTTTTGGAGGTGGTGCATGTTGCATGTTCGCTTAATTTGTTGTAATTCATTGTATATTTAAATACTTCGTAAATATTTCGCTTATTCAATTTGTTGTAATTGTATATATTTAAATATGTTCATATATTATCTTTTTATTCAATGAAATTAACATGTATATAAATACATCTCAAGGCGATTAAACATATATATATTGATATATATTTTCATTTTCTAATACCACTTGTTTTCTTTTGTATAACCATATTATTAAATAAAAAGACCACTTGTTTTCTTTTGTAAAACCATATTATCAAATAAAAGGACCACACACAATTTATTCTATAGTATTTATTCTTGTTCAATATTCCTCCTTGATTATGCAATACAATCACACACAATTTATTCTATAGTATTTATTTTTGTTTAATATTCCTCCTTAATTATGCAATACAATCACACACAATTTATTCTATATTATTTATTCTTGTTCAATATGGTGAAGGATAGGAATCATATCAAAATCAAAGTTCTATTGAAAACATTGGATCTGAAATTTTTAGCCGAAAATATTGTTGATGAATCAACTAAGAAATATAAACTGTTCGAAACAATTGACAAAGATATGGCTGTTAGTATTATTGACAACATAGATAACTTATCGTATCAACAGATGAAAGATTTAATACATAAAAAAGTTGAAAAAAACAAGATTACGCGAATATTTGAATTATTCAATACAAAACCGGACAGACTTGAATCTTCCAGAGAGTATCTCTATAGACTGAAAGGGTATGGTTCTGGGCTCAATCCTGAATTTTTGTCAGTGCAATTTATGTTGAAATGTCGTAATGAAAAGCTAAAAACAAGGTTGATAGAAGAAAATACTACAGAGCTTAATATTATAGAGGACATCGTTGTCCAATTTCAATCGTTGGAGAATAATAATCAAACATATGTAGAAAATATTCTTGGAGAAGAGAGGATAGAGCCGATTGGCAAGGCTATTCGTCTTGGAAAGAGAACAAGCAGGATTTTAAGGCCAACACCAACAACACAACAACAACAATTTCAAAAAACAAGAAATGATACAAACGCCATATAATTTGAGGCCAAGGAATAAGATAAATTTTATTAATGATTTTATGATTAATATGCAACTTAATAATCTAAATTTTTCTTTTTTGATAGATACGGGTTCTTCGGTGACATCCTTGCCCATTAAAGATTTTGAAAAATTGGAGAATTATGAAGAATTTGAGTTGGAAAATTGTTCTAAAAAATTATTCTCTTATGAGGGTTCTCCTATCACAGTCGTTGGTCAGGTCTCGAATATTAAGGTTAAATATTTGAATACAATTAAATTTTTAAATTTGTATGTATTGGATGGAAAGGGACCACCGCTATGTGGTCAAGACTCAGGGTTGGGCAAATTTTCAGAAAATTGTATTCGGATACAGATACTTAATAAAATTTTGTATTTAAGATACAAGATACTTTAGAAAAATTGGAATAAGATATAAGATACAAGATACTTGTATTTTTTTTAAAAAAAGTATCTAAGATACAAGATACTTTTTTAAAAAACCTTAAATAGTCAAAATCAAAATGTATAAAGCTTTATTTTCTTATCTATAATATAAATTTATAAAAAAATATAAATTGTAGAAAATAACAAATTTATTATAAAAGATAATGCGATATTCCATTTAATAATTATATAATTAGTAAATAAAAATAAATCAGCATCATAAATCAGCATTATTTTTTAATATTATTAATAATTTTTCAAATGATTTATCGTTCAATCTTTGACGATTTGGTCTATTAACCATATTAGCAAAGCTAAATAATCTTTCAACGGGGGCTGAGGAGGGTAATATTGTGTTATATTTAATAAATATTTCTTTTATATATTATAACTATTTAACATATTTATACTCCGCCTGTCATCTTTCATATAATTTAGGACCTCTATTTTAATATCATTTATTGAATTATTAGAATTGGATGTGGTACTTTTAAGGCAAAAGTAATCATCATCTTCATCAATTGAAGATTTTGTTGAAGTATTAATTTCAATATTATTTTTAAAAACAATTAAAACTTCATGTAATAACAAATCCTGAAGGTATTTTTTTTCTTTTTCACCATCAATCCAACGATTTTTAAAATAGGGATGAGAAATAGTTGCCAAAAATAGACTTTTAAAATTGTTATCAAAATCATATATATTTTAAAATCTTTTATTTAAATAATTTTCTATGGCATTAGCTAATGGTTTGCAAAATTGTAGATTGGTTTGAATTAAACTTGTAATTTTTTTTAACGACATATAAAATTGGAGCTGATTCTCCATAATAGCAGTTGATTTCACTCTATATTTTGTCAATCGCTATAGCCAATGGGGACATTATCTATATATATAATCCTCAAAAAATGTCAATCAAGTTTAACCAATAGAGTTCTTTTAAAAAATATTTGTCCAATGATAATCATCATAGAAATTTTAAGCCATTAGTAATTCCCATGTGATATACAATATGGCGAAACACAATATCCATATCAAATTTGCCATTGCAAGTAAAATATTCTTTTTTCAACAAATTTTATCTAGATAATATTTTTGAAATATTTGCTCAACACCATAGTAAACACTATATTCTTCATTTATTTTATTTTTAATGTGTAAACTTTCATTAGAGTCTATGACATCTGGGCTGAATCAAGGAGAGTTGGCTTCAAAGTTAAATTTCAATTATTTTATTTTTGATAAAATCACATATACCAAGGTAAAAGTTCTTATATTTCAAATTTATATAAAAAAATTCTTTTTACCTTTTAAAACCTAATTAATCGAAATTCAGATGCCATATCAATATCATGATGTTTAGATATTAGTAATAAATATTTGCTCAACACCAAAGGAAACAATATTTATTAAAATCTTCAATTATTTTATTTTTGATGTGTAAACTTTCATTAGAGCCTATGACATCTGGACTGAATCAAGGAGAGTTGGCTTCAAAGTTAAATTTCAATTATGTTATTTTTGATAAGATCACAAATACCAAGGTAAAAGTTCTTATATTTTAAATTTATTTTAAAAAATTTCTTTTTACCTTTTAAAACCTAATTAATCAAAATTCAGACAAATTCTAAAACCTCTAAAAATGCCTAATAAGAAACTATGTGTTATTATGTTGTACATTATCTTTTCAATCAATTGATAATATAAGAATGAAAGATTTTTTGATGGTATCAAAAAAAATTGATATATTATCTATAATAGATCTACCTTTATGTCTTTTTTGTTTTATTGAAATAGCATTTGCTGCTGAGGAAGGTTTACAATAGTTGAATTTCATAGCCATGCTAACTATAAGATTACACATAGACATGAATGATTTAAATAATATTAGATAATTCATATTCATTATCTATGTTTCTGTGTAGCTTTACAACCTAGAATAAATTTTTAACAAATATATTTCTTCTTGATAAATTCTCCCTAATTTGTTGTCTAATATAAATTAAAGATAATGATTTTATGTTATACTTTTCATAATACTTATTTTAGAAATACCAAGTTATCAATTCTAATTCTGATTTGCCAGACAGGACAACACTAAGCCCGACTGCTATTAATAATGTTTACCTATCAATGAAAGCACATGTACAATAAGAAATTAACTCAAAGGCCAAAATTTTGATCAATTACATTCTATATGTGGACAGATCAATACAGAAGAAGAAACTATAGTACATTTACACTTCATCTAATAATAGATAATTTTGAAATGATTTACTTTACTTTAGCAACTCATTATATAACCCCAAAACACACAGGTGAGACTATTCCAATTGAGATTGATAAAATAGAAGAGGAATTTAATTTAAAAAAGAAAAAATACAAATGGTCACTGATGCTGGGTCTAATGTTAGAAAGGGTGTTTGATTAGGTGAATATGAACACCGCTTATGTTTGGGTCATGGTTTACACAATCTGGTTATAGTAGATGGTATTAAAAAGGTACCCTTATTTGAAAATCTCATCAAAAGAATTATAGGAATTATTACTGTTCTAATATCTAAAACTACAATAGTTGAATTTGAATTCGAGGCAGATCAAAGAAAATGCCTAAGTATAATAGATTTAACATCAGACATGTTAGATCATGATAGCACTGATCCATATCCAGATACCTGATTTCAAATTGGCAATTCCATTGATAATGATAACAATATTTCCACGCAAAACCTTAAAATTGAACGTCCCAACACGTTGGCATAGTATATTAATTATGCTAGAAACCATAGGTGGATTAAATAAGAATATAATTAATAATGTTTTGAAAAGAATTGGGAAACACTTTCTCAAATTATCAAACTATTAATCTGATCTGGTAGAAGAACTATTATCATTTCTTTTAAAAATTAAAGAAACTGTCGAATTTCTATCAGTACAAGGGCCTACGTTAAACTTGGAGTTACTTTTTAGAGGTGAAATTGAAATTAATAGTAAATGACAGTGATAGTTCTGAAATCATTTCACTTAAGGAAAATATGCTAAAAAAAACTTACGCTACGATTTCCGGTTTGTGATTTTCAAGTAATAATATATAAGTACGTTCATTTATTTAATTCACTTTTTATTTCAAAAATTATCTAGGTATTGGCTTCTCCTCCTTTAGATTTAAGATTTTAAAAATTGACAATTGTGTCATAGTATATAGTAGAACAAGATTGCTGAGCTTCAGAATTTATAATAAAACATCTTAAACTTATATAGAATGATGATATTCAGATAGTAAATATAGCTATTGAGGATCGAGAGGAATTATTAAATTCAAGTTGACAAAATTGGCAAATAAACATTCAACAAATATAAATTATGATTCCACGTTATGTGACTTAGAACAAGAATACCACATTCTTCTTTAAAGACGACATTCACAAGATATGGATGTTCTAAATTTTTGGAGAGAAAAGAAGAGTGAACCAATCTTTCCAGCTCGCCAAAAAAATTCTTTGTATTCCGGCGACTAGCATACCCAGTGAAAAAGTTTTGTCTACCACTGGATTGACGTTGAATTCAAGGAGATCCAAAAATTTAAATAAAATCATTTTTATATATGATAATTATAAAATTACGAAATCGATTTTGGATTTATTGTGAGTTTTCTCTTAAATAAAGATCAAAACATATGCCTAGATATCTGTAAAATAGTGTATATTTATTTTTTTAAAAAAAAAATTTATTAAGCAATTAAAAAAATTTGTTATAAAAATTTATAATTGCGCCGATTTACGCCGCTTTTGATGACGGAGGCTAAAAATAGGCGCGCTGGGGACAGGCTACAAATTGTTCCGGCCACCGATAGTTTCGTACACGCACAGGTCTATTTATACATTATGAATTATTATATAAGTCAATTAGACATGGTTATAATATATTTATGAATTTAAAAAAATATAATATCTATTATAATAATCCTCAAAAAACGTTAATCATGTTTAACCAATAGAGTTCTTTTAAAAAATATTTGTATAATGATAATCATCATAGAAATTTTAAGCCATTAGTAATTCCCATGTGATATATAATATGGCGAAACACAATATCCATATCAAATTTGCCATTGCATGTAAAATATTCTTTTTTCAACAAATTTTATCTAGATAATATTTTTGAAATATTTGCTCAACACCATATTAAACACTATTCTTCATTTATTTTATTTTTAATGTGTAAACTTTCATTAGAATCTATGACATCTGGGCTGAATCAAGGAGAGTTGGCTTCAAAGTTAAATTTCAATTATTTTATTTTTGATAAAATCACATATACCAAGGTAAAAGTTCTTATATTTCAAATTTATATAAAAAAAATTCTTTTTACCTTTTAAAACCTAATTAATCAAAATTCAGATGCCATATCAATATCAGATGATGTTTAGATATTAGTAATAAATATTTGCTCAACACCAAAGGAAACAATATTTATTAAAATCTTCAATTATTTTATTTTTGATGTGTAAACTTTTATTAGAGCCTATGACATCTGGACTGAATCAAGGAGAGTTGGCTTCAAGGTTAAATTTCGATTATTTTATTTTTGATAAGATCACAAATATCAAGGTAAAAGTTCTTATATTTTAAATTTATTAAAAAAAAATTCTTTTTACCTTTTAAAACCTAAATTAGGTTTAAAAGGTAAAATAAAATTCAGAGATGCCATATCAATATCAGATGATGTTGAGATATTAGTAATATTAGCCAATTTATCTTTCATTTTTCAAAAGTATAATTTTTAACAAATAATTTTTATGCATTATTATATCATGCATTTTGCTTTTTTTTAAATCAAGGCCTATACCAAAATATATGTTGCTGTACACCAAAATAAACACTATTTATAATATTGGAGAGTGGTTAAATTAAAAACACTATACTTTATGAATTATCACTTCTATGAAATATCAGAGCAAATATATATATAAAATAAGGTCAGACAACTTTAGTAAAAAAAATGAAATTAGGCTAAGCAAAACTTGGGATGGGCATTAATTAAATTCTTATTGGGCCTAAAAATGTTGTCATTTGCAGACCTCTGGTGATAATACAATTATATATTTTTGTTTTTCTTTAAATTTCTGAACATATTAAAAAAGTAATTTTTATGGTTCCACGTCAATTCGGCGATATAAACAAATAGCATGAGAAGCTATTTTGCCTTCTCCATTAACTCCAAATCCTAATTGATACGTATACTTAATAAGTTAAGACCCTGGATTTTGACCCTTGGCAATTATTTTTGCTATAGCCCATTGCAATGGGGTAGATACTACCACAGTGTTTTATGAGATAATCAGTTTGGCCCCATAATTGATTTTAATCTATGATGGCAGGTCTTTTTTAATTTAGGAAAGTTTTAAAAGCTTATAAATGATTCTTGATGAGTGCAGATTTTATGAAGTGAGAACAAAAACCATTGTATCTGGGTAAAAAATTTGTTACAAATATCATAACTTACAAATCATATTTTTTTTATTCCATATTTTCCGTAATATATTTGACCTTTTCCTAAAAATTTATAGAAATCATGGAAGAATAAATATGGATAATCTATTCCTCTCATTTTATTAATGATTAAAGAAAAGATTTTTTCAACGTTGGCATTATGAGCTGATATAGAAAAAAAACATGCTATAATAGCAGTTCACTACATTGGTGAAAGATTGGGATATAAAAGAAATTAGACTCATTTTTGATGAAGAGCAAGTTTTGCATATTCAGCACGTCTGATTTTATTTGTAATAAACAATTAAAGTTGCAAAATTGGCTCAACAACTTTGAATCATTTAAAGAAACATTTTTATTTTTTTATAAAAATCTATATAGACTTTTCTAAATCTGACTTGGGAACATTTTAATTTTCATCCATTTGAAACATTCCAATTCTTTATAAAGGTTCTGATTAGAGAGCAAAATATAAAATTCTATATCTATACATTCAATAAATTATCATTGAATTTATTTAATTTTTTTGTCCATTTTTAATATCTGTTTCAAATGTTACTTGAAGATAAGTTATGCTCTCATCTAGCAAGAATATATTTTTCAGATTATAAATTACAAATACAAATGAATAAGAAATATTTTTAAAGATTTTTTATTGTGCACATAAATGAAAATTACTAACCATATACTTCATATAAATAATGAATTTTAGAATATCCCTTCATCTAAAAAATATAAATTTCTAAATCACACCTCTTCATCCATTGTTAAATAAAGGTAAAATTTATTATTTTATCATTGAATAAAGGAGAAAATTCTGATTCCCCGTCATTTTTGACGGGCTATCAGCTAGTATTGGAATATTCTTCTAAATATTGAATTTCAATATCTCTTAATTTAGGAAATTCTAATTTTTGACATAATTTAGGAAGTTCGCCTTTAAATTTTAATAAACTATGAAGACTATCATACAAACTATTCCATCTAGTGCAACAAGGTGTAACTAATTGTTTTCCTAAAACTGCTTTGATAAGTTCTGCAGTTTTAGGCCTATTATTTGCATAGCTTAGTACATTTAGCTATTGCAGGATGAATTTTAGAAATGTTAGGAGAATCCTTAATAGCTCTCTCGACATCTGTTGTAGCAATTAGACTTATTGTATGGCACAAACAACGAATGTGTTGAGGCAATGTTATTGAGGCTTCTTTAGACCCTTAAATAAACAAATAAAATAATTTTATTTGAATAAAATTATTTACTAAATTTACAATATCATAATAAATTTTAAAGAAGTATTAAATAATACTTTCAATGATTTCGAATTCTATACATTTATCATCATATATGTTAAAGTCATTCTCTACAGCTTCCATAGAATATCCAAACTCCTTGAAAGCTTTCTTAAAGTTAGAGCCGTTATCTGTAACAGTTGCTATGACTTTTTCGTCAATACCAAAGTCACGATGAACTTCTTTATTATGATCATCTTGAAGTACTTCAAAAAATTTGCTATTAAGTATGCTTAGTTTAAATTTATTGTTATAATTTTCGGTTGAAGAATCATCTGAAGACGAAGATAAACATATTATTCTATTTTCTTCTTTCATAATTTTAAAATAGACAGATATAAAACGATTCAAATATGGTAGTTCTAATTGTTAGCAAATTGCTATATGACGACCAACGTCATATATCAAAAATTATCTTAAAATATCTAAATTTTGATTAAATTTTTCATTTAAATCTTAAAACAATATCATTTTAAATTTTAATACTATTTAAATTAACCAATATAATTTTTTTTAAAGTATCTGTATCTTTTTGAATACAAAGTTGGTTAAGATACAAATACTTTTAAATAATATTATCTTAGATTCTGGATACAAGATACTTTCCCAAAATTTTAAAAAAGATACAAATATCCGCGATACTGCCCAACCCTGTTCTTACCTATTTACTTTAAGAAAAAATTCAAAAAAG